CAGGTAGAATTTAAATTCAGAAATAGAAATATTTTGTTGATTCTCTAGCTTTGTAAAACAACAGGGACGGGGCACCTATCAGAAAGCTCCAGACACTTGCATCAAAAACAAAACCGCAATCCCATAACATATAAAAAATACTAAATTATCAGGCAGCACCAAAAATAAACCAGATTCTCCATTTTTCTCCAAATGGTACTGAATTATTAAAACCAGAAAGCCCCTCGGCGTCCCCAGCCATAAAGATGTGAAACCACAGTCACACGGCAGTAAAGCCACACCCTCAATTTCCCCATGTGGCTCCCACAGAATCTACTCTGATTGCGGCTTTGGGGTACTGTGGGATGGGGAGGAGAGAAAAGACTGCATTCCTGAGAATCCACCTGCAAGCAAACAGATGGGGTGTGTGGGGATGTGTGTGTGTGAAGCCATGACTGTGCCTGCCCCCACCACCAGCAACTTACTTTTCTCAAGAGCAAGAAAGGAGTAGGGAAGGAAATGTGACACTCTAATTCCCCTCCTCAGGCAGCGCAGCCATGTGCTGTCCCCTATGCACAGTTGAACCTAAAGGCTTAGCCTCACATTGTGGAAATAACCACTCTTCTCAGGCTAAATTCATCTATGGTTGTAGCTTCACTGAAATCTATACAGTTGTGCTAGAGATTAATTTGCCCCCTTTTGCTTGCTGATGTCTTCCCCCATCACCTACCTGCCCTACCCACTGTCTTCTGCTGCTGGTTTTTGTTGCGTGCTTGATCTAATATAGACTGTAATCTCTAAGGGTCAGAGGCTTGTAAATCTCTAAGGGTCAGAGACGCCTTTGGCATGATATGTATTGAAGAACCAGGGCAGGGATGATATGAAATACTCCTCATAGGATGTCTGGAGTTGGGTAAGAAGGGGTGATCCCATCTGCCGACTGAACACCTACGCTCTGAATGAGAAGGAGCAGCCAGGGGCAGTAACTGCACGATGTAACTCGTGCCAGGAAACAAGTTTGACTTCTCTCTATGAAGTGGACGCTCCTGAAAGGCATTCATTTAATGGGAACCCATTTGTCATCTTAATGGCCTTCATAAATGGTGCCACTAACAACATTAAGCATGGGAGTAGTTATGCGCAAGTCAATGGTATCAGTTGTTCTAACTTTGCTGGATGGCTTAGGACCAGCTTTTTATTTTCTAGCACAAAGTTGAAGGAGAACAGAATAAAGAGAGACATAAGGAAATCAAAATAATGAGGCATATAAAAGCATTGACAAGTAAACAGTCATGATTCAGATTGACTACACTCAACAATTCTGAAGGCTGGATGGTGTTTGTTAGGAACAGGGGCTGGACAGAATGCTTGTAGCATGCTCCCTACCCTATACAGCTACTGCCGTGAACAGTTAGTTGTAACCCACTGACCACACTCAGTTGTACATTTTGAAGGAGTTGAAAGGAAGAGTTAAGCACACAGCTCCCATTATAATACTGTGAATTACATTCACATCTAATATGACATAAGCCTTGGAGTTTGTATCTAAGGATTTGATTTCACTCATTACAGAACTAAGAGCCAGGCACAAAATTTAGATTAGGATTTTTGTCTCAACTTTCCCAGAGTTTGAGGATCTATGGGCTTAACTCAACCTGTAACCCCCCTTAGCACAGTGTTGATCTTTGTCCCCTTCTAGAGGCTGGTCCACATAAGAGGCTTATGAGTTGGTACAGGGCTTAGTCCTTTAAGTATAGTGGTAGATGCTCATATGTTTAAATCAAGAAGTACCAGGTGCAATTCCTGCACATAACCCATCCAGAGGGCTGTTACCAACTGTTACAGAACGAAGAGCCAGGTGCAAGTTTAGGTCTAGATTTTTAACCCAACTGTTGCTTTCTGGGGTTTTGGTTTAGTATTTCCTTATATGCCAGTCTGAAAATGCAACCCACACTGTGTACTTTCTGGACAGCCTGGAGCATTAATAACCCATTTGATCTACGGGAGAGGAGTGTCTGTTTTTTAAAACCAGAAACTCATTGTCATACAATGACATTCACTCTGCACAACAAAGCAAGCCCTGTGGAATTTTAAAGCTCCATCACTGCACAGTCCTGGTGCTTCTCTGAAGATAGCAGCTCCGTGGCATGCACAGGTAAAGAGACTGGGGGATTCAATTATATTTTTCCCTTGTAGTTCAGGTCTATTTATGTATTTGACATTTCTCCTCATTTATTCAAAAGTCAGCACCGCATAAGGCATTTACTTTTATTGCTGAAAAACTCTGACTGCCATAATTGCTTAAACTCTAAATTTAAGATTAACGTGCCACTCAGAGAACACATCATTGCTTTGAGGGCAGACGCTCAGCTTTGTCTTTTCTACAGTTTTACTCCAGTTAAAATAAACTGCCTCTGCATCTGCTAGTAGCATGATATATTCTGTTTTTCTTTACCAGTCTTCATGATTAATTGTAATCTATACAGGCGGGTGTTTGAGCTAGGAGGGTAGTAGTAGCTGAAGCCAAAACCTCGAACAAACCACAGTGGGCCTTGCAGGCACCAAAACAACAGTGTCACGGAGCTGATATATGAAGCAAGCACACATTAAAAATAGCACATCCATGTCTAGTACAAGCAGCAGGAGGTGCTGATGCACTGTGCTTACATTTTCCCCATGTGTTAGGTTTAGATTACAATTTCCAGAGAGAACCTTTACTTTGCAGTAAAGATTTTGGGCCTGAATTTCAGTACCTGGCCTCCACCTGTGTGTGTGAAAATTGTGTGTGCACACACTGCACTCCTGCCTCTTACTGTCAGAAACCCCTGCATGTGCACTCGAACAACATTAAAGCCTATGTTCGCATAACTGTTAGGATTTTGTACTGAAAAATCTATTTCTCCTAATGGCTTTCCCATATGCAAAAATCTAACATTTGTGCACCATGCAGGTGATAGAGTTTTTAGAAGTGTGTATGCAGGGTTTGTGCCTATAAATACACATGCTCATAATTCTGTGTGTCCACAAGTAGAATTTGTGAAGGCCAGCTAAGAATTTGGTCCGACAGAGTTTTCAAGGATTCAGAGTTTGCTAATGAATACATTTAACAATTTCCTTCCTAAAATATGCATTGCTATTAGAGACACTAGTCCTCAGTGAGGACAACTAGCTTAGAACACAATCTTGGAGTTTTTAGTCTGAACTATTTTAAGATATATTAAAGTTAAGTAGCCAAAAACAAAAACCTCTCATTTTTGAAAGTTCCCTATCTCCAAGGCACCTTCTTTGAACAATGTCATACTTCGCAAAACACTGCTCTTTGGCTAGACAACAAGCATAAGACTCTTCAGATGAAAAGTTGAAGAAGTTTTGGAGGGAAACCAGTTTCATCATGGAAAGTCAGCTAAATCCAACGACTTCATCATTACAGTCTTCAATTGCCAAAACACAATCTAATTGGTGGAGATCTTATCATGTGACCTAAAATAATGTTTCAGGCTTTGCCCTTCTTTGAACTGAAGGGCCCCACATGTGCGCAACGTAAGACCTGGTATTGGAGACATTCAGAGTCAAATTGTGCTGGGTCCTGCAAAGGTGGGCTTGGGTGAGGGGGAAGAAGTGCTGAATCAGCCAGAATTCCTCCTGGAGTCTCCTATGGAAGCAGAGCCTCCCCCCTCTCCCCACCCCCGGGCTGAAAAAGGCAGAATGTATGCCTCAATCCTTCTGAGACATAGTATGTGTGGCATTTGAGGCAAATTTTCTTGCTCTCTGTTGATTTTTTTTAAAGTTATCAATCTATCTGAAAGATAAAAATTGTGGGGGGAAATATCAGCCACATGGCATATAAAGTAAAAAGACATACTTCCAGATGCTCCAGGGGTCATTAGGAGATGAGTGTGACATTGCTCTGAGCTTAAATGGCATTTTAGTGTGTTTTGTGTGAGTCAGAAATTATAAAAATATTTGAGTTATTACTTCATTTATTTAAGATGGCTGCCACTATTGCCAATGAGGCACTGCACTTGGGTGAGATGGTAACATGAAACTGTAATCTAACACAGATGCCTCAGTGGAGGGTAACTGGAGCTGAAGCACTTACAGAGGGAAAATGGAGGCCTGAAGCATTTTTTGGCAGGAAAATAAAATAAATGGTATAACAAAACATTTAGAGTTACATTCTACACTCAGTTAACCCACGTGCTTCAGTGAGGTAACAGACACATAACTGAGCGCAGAATTTAACTCAGATACTATAGATCAAAGGCTTTAAGCTTACAGAAGAAACTTAACCTCTTGGGTTATGAAAGTGACCTCCGCTGGGCAATACGGCCCCTAGTCGGTGTCTTTGGCAAGACACCACCAGTCACCTTTTCAACTCATGAAGCAATTACTTTCCACTATAAGCCTGAACTGCAGTCAATATACTACTTGTAACAGCATAAGCCAAAGCCAAGGTTTAAATCTTTGGCCCTTACTGTGTCCTACAACCAGAAGCCACACACTGTACATATATGTACCCTCTATGCAAGGCAGGTAGGCCAATGTAGCCAATGTTTGTAACTGACAAATAAGACACCCGAAGAAATACAAGCTCCAAGTTCTACATGTAAAGTTTTATGAGATGTCGCAGCTTTGCTCTAGCTTTTGTTTGTTTAGATTCAGATTCTGCCACTCTTACTCATATTGAGTTGTACATTACTCCACCAGTAGTATCATATAAATAAATGGAGCTACCTGCCCAGTTAGCTACTATGCAGTGTAAGGATGGCAAAATTTGGCCACTAATCTCTTGGCGTGGACTAGACTGAGTGAAAAATGGAAAAAAAGAAGGAAAAGCAAAGCATATAAATACGTACAGTGCCTGCCACAGCAACTGTTGGTGCAATTAAAGACCCTCTACAAGGAAACTAAATTACACCTTTTTGCTTATTTGTTTTGGCATGGCACAGATACCGGGCGTACCTGCACCACAGGCTAGCAGAGCGATTAATAAAAGAGCAGAGCAAAGTGATTGCTCATACCTCCATCCTGTGAATTCATGATATTCAGTGCAAACAACATTGCGTTGGAGAATGTGGTAGCCTCTTCCTTGCTTGCGAAGTTCAAGCCGTAGACTTGCCGTGCATCGCGCCACTGATGAAAGGTAGGTGTTGCTTGATTGTACTTCAGTCCTTTCACAATTGAATAATTAATCACTACCTGCAATTTGAAATATAGATGAAGGTTACAAATATTCTACCCTCTGACAGGAAAGAAAAGGCATGGATCAGTTCAGGTCTGTAATGGCAAAAATATATATATACACACACACCTTCCAGAACAAGGTAGGCAAGTGTGAATTTTGACATTTACAGACACATACCTGCTGAGGAGATTTAGAATTGTTCAATGCAGTGTCGGGGCACATGGGCTCGACCTGAAAAATCTGTTACCTGCTCATGCCTCCCTCAAAAGCTCCACCACACAGCTGTGCACATGTTGCAGACAGGTGTTTGACTTGGTGCCAGCAGCTGCTGGCACCCTTTGGGGAGCGATCATCCACAGTTGTTAGAGAAGGGGAGCAACTGATTCATTGGCACCAATCCTCCCCCACAACAGGTTACATGTTTAAGCAGATGCCAGAGGCCTGACTTGTTCCTTCTGCATACTCCAAGTTACTACCAGTTTCTCAAGTGGGAGAATTGTTTTGTCTAGAATTAGATAGGCACAGATTATACCGGAGGACTCAGAGTGTCCACTTCCATCTGATGCCTTGCTGCAAGTTCTGTAACTGCCACTCATGGCTACAGAAATAAAAAGGCATTTTAATAGCATGGGGAGAGAAATGCTTACAATGTTTTTTAATCTTTTTGTTGATTTTCATCTTTCTTCTCCAAAAGATGGAGCTGCCAAGTGCTGTGCTCAGAGACAAATTAAACGATTGGTAACAGTCTAATTAGTAAAAGTTCGTAGTCATAGTATGATGGTCGCCATCTTGGCTGACACATCGGGGATTCAACTGGGAACCTCCAAAGCTAAAAGCATGAGCTGCTATAGCTTGAGCTAAATAGTGAAGGATTCCTAATTGATGCCGTAATAGCCTCAGGTGCTTTGTGGACTGGGCACAGATGGGGACCTATAATGCACACTTGCCAGCAGGCTACACTGTCACTTTATGACAGGTAACATATAAGGGCCAAAACGAAAATCCCCATCCTGAAGGGCTCACAGTCCAAAGTTACACACAGAGAGAGTGCCATTAAAATATCAGTGTGGCCGGTGGAGGTTGTCTCTTTACCAAACAGGTGGGGCTGGGGGAAAGATAAGCCTGAAACTTGGTGCTGGATAAGAACAATTCTAAATGTTCAAGTATTGCAAATCTAGGTCTGAACTTCATAGCTGGCCCCTACAGCTGGGGTTGTTTTGACCCTCGCTTTACAATAGGCCCAAGCAATCTCCAGGCTATAATTCTGATTGAAAGCACACTGAAGACAATGGGAGTCTTTCTTCAATGGGGTTTGGATTAGGTCATACGTGAATCAGCTTCCTCACTGAGTGATAAGAAGTGACTCGCATGAGTAGAAGGAGGGGGCTTGCAGCACACTGTCTGGGAGACTATTTTAAGTGCAAGGGGCAGCATCCATGAAAGTGTTTAGACGGGAATGAGAAAAGAAGACCACGGAAGCAGAAAGCAGAGAAGTTTTGGCAGCCCACTCACCACGAAGGGCTATTGGAAAAATAATACTGAGGTGTCAGATAATTAAATCGCCCCCTGCGTGGCTTGTGTAGCAAGGACGTATACAGAAGGAAACTTTGGGGTAAACCTTTAAGAAGCCTCCCTTCTTACAAGTGTAAGTCAGAGTTCCTGCAACGCTAGCTGCCTGACTTCCACTCATGCTCTGCTCCCGAAGATTTGTGCCAGTGTTGCAATTACACAAAAACAACAAGGAGTCCGGTGGCACCTTAAAAACTAACAGATTTATTTGGGCATAAGTTTTCGTGGGTAAAAAAACCTCACTTCTTCAGATGCATGGAGTGAAAATTACAGATACAGGCATTATATAATGACACATTACACTGCTCTACAGCCAAAATGCTTCTGAAATAAACGTAGTCAAACTTTACTAATTCTGGGTCACTGAGAACGAAAATGATGCTTAAAATTGTTGATTGGCTCTAGGTTTCAAGATATGCTATTGGGTCAGTATATACGACCCTTGACTTGGGAATGACGGAGGATAAGTGAGTTATAAAGGGAAGGGATTTCAATTTAAAACTAAAATACATCTTTGACTGGATCTATGAATAAATCTATGACTGGGTTTGGACAGTACTTGCTTTTTAGGCAAAACAATGAATGATGCAATCTGAAGCTGGTATTGCATCATACATGATATGAATTGCATCATGTTATTCCTAGAAGTCATGGATGATGCAATCATAACGAAGCTTACATCACTCTGCTGAACAAATTGCCCTATATCAGCTCTAGAAATCACAGTGTCGTGCTCTCTTATTTGTCAGTGTTTGATTTTGCAAAGGGACACATTTCGGTTTAGGCAAGTGAGCAGAGATGCCTCGTACTTGTGTGAACAGTGCAGATAACTTCTGCTATGTTTGTGGTGAAGTGACTTTTGCATCACAAAAGCGCAGTATAACCACTATGGTTAAGAAAGCCTATCACCTTTATTTTGGCTGCAAAATTGGAGATCAGGACAAGAGGTGGGCCCCACACATATGCTGCAACACTTGTGCAACAAATCTTCGCCAGTGGTTGAACAGGAAAAGGAAATCTATGCCTTTTGCAGTGCCAATGATTTGGAGAGCGCCAACAGATCATACCAGCAATTGTTACTTCTGCATGGTGCCTCCAGTTGGGAAAGGTGTGTCAAAGAAGAAAAAGTGGACTGTGCATTATCCAAACATTCCGTCAGCTATACGCCCAGTACCCAACGGAGAAGGACTGCCGGTTCCTGACGCACCAGAATCATTCTCACTTGAGTCAGACGAGGAAGAGGAAGAGGATGAAACTTCTGGTCCTGAACCATCAATGTCATAGGACCCACATTTTCTCCCATCCTCCTCCTCTGACCCACACCTCATAATACAAGGTGAACTGAATGACCTTGTCAGGGATTTGGAACTACCCAAGAGTAAGGCAGAGCTCTTGGGCTCCAGACTACAGCAGTGGAATCTCCTGGCAGGTGATGTTAGGGTTTCCATGTTCCGTGACCGTCAAAAGGATCTTGTCCCATTCTTCTTCATGGAAGGTGATCTTGTAGCCTGCAACAACATCCATGGTGTGATGGCAGCCCTCAACATCGTTCACGATCCAGATGAGTGGAGACTGTTCATTGATTCATCGAAGACGAGTCTTAAAGCTGTTTTACTGCATAATGGCAATGTTTTGCCATCAATTCCAGTTGGTCATGCAGTCCATATGAAGGAAACCTATGACAACATGAAACAACTTTGGAGGTGCATAAATTATGACCAACATCAGTGGCAGCTTTGTGGCGATTTGAAGGTTGTTGCTCTCTTGCTTGGTCTGCAGACTGGATACACAAAGTACTGCTGTTTTCTCTGCGAATGGGATAGTCGTGCAAGAGATTCCCACTACATCAAGAAAGATTGGCCACTCCGACAGTCATTGGAGCCTGGGAGGAAAAGTGTTCAGCATCCACCACTTGTTGAATCAAGGAAAATTTTGTTACCACCCTTCCACATCAAGCTGGGTCTGATGAAGAACTTTGTCAAGACCATTGACAAAACACAAGCAGCTTTCAAGTACCTCCGTGGAAAATTTCCAAGGTTAAGTGAAGCTAAGATAAAGGAAGGTGTCTTTGTTGGTCCTCAGATTCGTGAACTTCTTCGAGATGATGCATTTGACCATGCACTGCGTGGCAAGGAAAAGACGGCATGGAAAGCCTTCCAGTTAGTGGCAATACATTTTCTCGGAAACAACAAGGCAGACAACTACAGGTTGTTGGTGGAAAACCTCCTCAAGGCATACAAAAGCCTTGGTTGCAACATGTCACTAAAGATACATGTTTTGCACTCTCATCTAGATTTTTTCCCACCGAACTGCGGAGCAGTGAGCGACGAGCACGGCGAGCGATTTCACCAGGACATTGCAACAATGGAGAAACGCTATCCGGGCAAATGGAGCCCATCAATGCTTGCAGACTATTGCTGGACAGTGACAAGAGATGTTCCATTTAATGAATACAAGAGACAAGCCAAGAAGCGCCGAGTAGACACTGAATAGGACTAAACTATGTACATAATAGTTTTTTGCCTTTTGTTTCATAATACATTTTATTTATATAACCCTTTGGCTGATTTTTGAAGTGTTACATAAACAGGACAGGTGAAATATTATCATGTAAAGCAACCATAAACACATGAAAAGACCTAGGTTTACAATTTATGATTAAAACTCTACTATCTACACAATATACATAGACATAAAATGTAAAAACTTAAATATCTTAAACAGTAGCCAATCAGTTGTTTTAATTGTCATATTTGAATTCAGCACATCAAAATACATAATAAATAGCACATTTTATCTCTGAAGCAGATGATTTCTCAAAAATTGTAGACCAGTGTTATCTGTTAGTCTTTAAGGTGCCACCGACTCCTTGTTGTTTTTATGGATACAGACTAACACAGCTACCCCCTGATACTTGTTGCAATTACAGGCATGAATTCTGTAGGTGAAAACTTTGCCCACAAAAGGGAAGCTGCCCTTTTGAAAACATGGCTCTATTAACCTGAAATATTTAACTCAGTGGTTGGCAGGTGAGCTGTGTACAGGGGGAGACATCTCATTCTGTTGACTGAGTAAGGGGCAGGATTGGGGCCTGACTGTCCTAGCTGCAGGTCACAGAAATGCATTCACCTCTGAGACCTCCAGAGATTTTAAATCTCTTAACTCCATCTCTAGCCTTATCTACTTTAGTAGTTAACAATATACGGTATATCCAACAAACGGGCAAGCCTACTGATTTGTGTCTTCTGTGTTTACAACTATAATGTCAACTATAAGCAGAAAGGTCTGTTCTAAATCTTTCTTCTGAATCTTCTTCTTCTGCAGTGAAAATTCACTCCAGGCTTAAACTATAGCACAAACAATGTGAGCCAGACATCCCGCACATCTCAGAGTTTGAAAGAAGTACGGTAGCTTGGAGTTCAGGAGACGCAAACCCAAATAATAT